GGGGGGGGGGGGGGGGGGGGGGGGGGTGAGATATGGGCCAAAAAATCACAAAAGTTCATCACTACCCCTCTCGCAAACGGGATAGGCTCTAAGTTCGTTCTAGTTAATTTTAGACGTTGCCACCCTACCTTTAGATTCCCCTTCCCCCCTCTGCGGGATTTCAACCCCGTCGTTGTGACGCAAATACTTGTTTTAGCACAAATCAAAAGAATCAGTGATTTAAGATGCAATAACATACGGTTATGTTGGTATTTTTTATATCAATAGAAAATATTGCATGGGTGCGCGGAGATACGGATTTTATCTTMGAGTGATGAAAAGATCTATCACGAGTGTAGCTTTTCAATGCGAGAAGATAAAATTTAAGTATCTCTAAGTAATATTCTGTTTATCATATAATTCCTTTTAAAGTAAAGTATGTCGTAAAATACCTTTTTTTCTTACTAACACTATATAGAGAAATCTCGAATGCGTTATTTTCACTAGTGAAAATAACAACGTACTTTACTAGATGAAGAAAGATAGATATTTTTATGAAAGATAGATGATTATATGATAAAGATTACTGAATACTTCCTAATTCCAAGGCAGCATTGAGACACCGGCCTAGTGCGTCTACTTAGTTACTTACAAACGCAATTGCACTACTAGTGCAAAAAAGCCGTGATGAGGCATCTTCAACCTCATGCGGGTCACAAACCAGAATGTCGAAAGGGTCTCGATAGCGAGTGGACTCTATATTATAATTATCTAATTATAATTGATCTACTTACTTGGAATTGAAGTATCTAAACTTTAGTAGTCTTTCCACAGCCGCAAGTAACGGGATTATGAAATTATGGTGACTAGTTCAAACGACTTCTCATTTCAAAAACAGAGATCAACATGAAACAAGAAATTGCACGAATCCATTTATGWATTTATGTAAACTATATGGGCCCACAATGTTTGCACACATCGGTTCTCTAACTGATCAAAATATACAGTCAGCCCCATTAACGTTGTTCGTCTGTAAAGCCAAAAAATCACAAAGTTTGCATACACCGTATTTTTAATTCTTTGAAAGAATATTATATCATAATGTACCAAAAATTATTTACAGTGACAATAACATTTAATTGCTATTGATCTAAAGCTTAGAATAGATGAGGTGACGGTTTTGTCCGCCATTTTGGACGGGTAGGCATAGTGTCGCAAAATAACAAGGAATGACCGGGAAATCGATGTCAAATAATTCTCGCTGAATTCAGATTCAGAAAGAATTATCAATNCGTTTTATGCAAATGACTTTTGTTGTTGTCTTTGTGTCTTTACAAGAGAAAAACATTAATGGATTGACTGTAAAGTTGATTTTCCCGGCCGCCAGAATAAACGTAAAATTCATGAATGCACTTTATAGCTTATTAAAAGTATCATTACACTTTGCMTTTAGATCACTATTTTGTACTCTATTATTTATGTAAAGTTTAGAGTTTCTTGAAAAATTGGACAAGGAAACAAGAAAGACGAGACTGCGGAGAAGTCCAATATGGCAGTCAGAGGACCTCAGAGCAATTTTTCATTTCGAGTGTAACTTTTTTTTTCTTAGTTGGACTGTATAATATGGAGTTCTATTATATACTCCCAACTGTCCAATAAGAAAATAACTGAGCACGCACCTTTTAGGATTAATAAGTGGATAAATGAATATTCATCCATGTAAGAGGGTCCATGTATCTCATTAAGAATAAAAAATTGGACGGGGGAAATTTCGAGGAACGACAAAAAAATTAAGGATAGGCCGTATCCGGGCAGAGAAAATTTCAAGTAATTTCGACTAAAACTCGAGGAACTCCCGGAAGAGCTGGAATACAATATCTTGGAACACACTCCTTCAATAACCCTTTCCTGTGACATAGATATTTCACCGTTGACTGGTTGACTGACGCGTATGCTTAGACGAGTTAATCGAATCCGGGTTATTGAAGTTAGTGTGTTCCAAGATATTGTATTCCAGCTCTCCGTGGAGTTCCTCGAGTTTTAGTGACATATTTCACCGTTGACTGACGCGTATGCTTAGACGGGTTAATTGAATCAGGGCATTGTAGAATGGTRTGTTTGCTTTGCTCTAAGGAAGTCATAATTCTAAAACTTCCTCTTCAGCTTTTTAATACACTCCTTAAATAAAAATTCGAACCGATGACCGAGCTTATCTGCCTAGAAAAGCTTTATATCATGTCACCATTAGTTCAAAATATCATCACGTCATAAAGCAGTGCCTCACGAATGACGAAGTCTTGAATTAGCATATCAGGCCGTATCGTGGCTGTAGCCAGAGACGGTAAATTGTACAAACACGGAAATTGAACCGCTGTTCAAATCATGCGACAATAGAAACCTCGATTTTTTCCCATAGAATGTCAGATTTTTTTTACTGTATGGAAATTCAGAAAATGTCAACCAGATAATAATTRCCTCTACGGCCGACACGGTTCTAAAATACAAGCACAATTGTTTTTCCACGTTAGGTTTTTAACGAGCGCTCGGCGATTTCCGAACGACTTTACACCGACTGGGACAACTTTGCTCCCAGTAAAACTACATGGTGTGATGGCGGTCGTTCAATGAGATGAGACTACTGAACAGTTTTGCTATTTGGGGCACATAGTGGTTCTCGTTAACTAATTAATACGCACTCAAACTAGCCACTGTGTTTCGGTTTTTCGGGGAGGGGGAAGGGGAAGGGAGGGCCTGACACTCAGRCTACTCACAAGTTTCAGTTTGAAGCAATCAGGAAATGCCGTTCTCATGACAAAGGGTCTCCTAAAATGTATAGTATAAATGCTGAGTTTGACAGTGGCAAACGTTTAAAACTCGGAAAAAATAACAATTTAAATGTATGGAGCTTTAGATGTTTAGAGCAGCGTCCTCAAAAACCATACTGTATTCTCTCTTGTTTTGCAATTCAAGAAATAGTTGAGGTGACGCGCGCGGTTTTGGCGGTCATCTTGGACGAGTAGGCAAAGTGTCGCAAAATGACAAGGATAGACTGAGAAATCGATGTCAAATAATTCTCGCTGAATTCATGCAAATTCGGAAATAATTATCAATTGCAGCGGGAATTATTTGACATCGATTTCTTACTATATCCTTGCTATTTTGCGACGGTTTGTCTACTGTTCGGCAGGGCCGTGCCAAAACCGTCACTATTGACACACGTCATACTAATTATGCATTAATGCTCGCAAGAGGCCAATAGTATATGAAGAACGATAAGTATTCCTAATCGTCTTACAAACTCCCCTTTAAGGTCAATCAAACTGTGCCGTTGCATGCCGATATATGTCATCGCATGAGGACAACTTGATACTTGTAACTAAACTACTCAATACTTAACATTCAGAATATACAGCTCGCAGGCCATTCTGCCGTGAACGTGCCCKCAAGACTCTTCAACACGCGACTCAGTAGAGGTACGAAAACATGTTATTTTTGCTCCGCTTTAATTTGCAGGGAAGGAATACATGAATGAAAAATTGTCATCATTTGCAGCTAAGTGATAGTGTAAATAGTGTAAATTCTGTAGAGATTTCCTGGATGTATTGAATCGATTCGTTAAAAAAAGCGGTGAAGGAATGCGTCGCGTCTTCAAAATAGGAACAAATGATTACAGACTATTCCGTAGTAAGAGAAGGTAGATTTAACTAAAAGAACTATAAAAAATACAAATCAAATACTGCTCAACAGCGCTAAATTGTTTAGATTTAAGACATTAGGAATTCACACAATTCAGTGGAGTGAGATTAGTAAACCCTTGAAACAAAGTCTAACTAACATCAGTCTTTGAAACAATTACTACTAGTCAGGGTTGAATAGTAACTATTAGGGTGTAGTAGGCTACCAAAAGGCAAAATCAAAACCGTGTTTGGCTAATTAGTTTGTCGCATTTCATAAGTTAAACTATTTGGAGCTAATTGTGGGTAATAGTACAATTCCTATTTCACAGACGGATGAAAATGACTCTAAAATATGTAAGTCAAATAGACACAAATGCAAACAGTGCGATTGAGCGTACTGAGGTGCATTAATGTTTTATCTCTTTCACGGATTTTTTTGACTTCACTCTATATTAAAGTTACCACTATTTTGAAAGTTTGCACTCTATATTAGATATCACTTTCTATTTCACCGATTTTTCGTTTTCTCTAAACCGTTGAACGAATCTAATTGTCAATATTTGTTCGTCAAAAAAGCGTAAAGTAGAACGACGGAATTACAGCGACTGCAAAGGTCCATCGAGTCAACTTTTTAATCCCCTTTACAATGCGTCTTAGTTACAATTTGGTGAGTCTATGTTTAGCGAGTATGATGACATTTTAATTGACGCTGTGTAAAGTCATTGAACTCGTGAAACATAAGTTGAAAGGTTGTAAGTCAAATAGACACAAAAGAAATGCCATAAGAGCGTGCTAAAAAGTATTTGTGTGGTATCTGTTTCACGGGTTATTGAATTCTTTTTGCAGCTTTTGTTTTAGTGTTAGTATAAATGTATAGTTTTCATATATTCGTGAAAAAAACTCATATGTAATACCTCATATGTATTATTATATGGAAGACAGCTTACATCTTGGTTCACGGGTTATGAGAAAGCACTAAGTCCGTGAAACATAATGATAACGCCCTAAGTCCGTGAAACATAATGAGGACGCCCCTAAGTCCGTGAAACATAATGAGAGGTATTTGCCATAAAAAAAATTCAATGGATTTTTGACTTAATCAGAGTGTCAATAGCACTAAGCTATGCCAATATAATCATCCTGAATTATAGAACTAGTTCTAGGTTGAATTTCTGGGGTGTTTTCCCCACACGGAACAAGAAACCCGTATCGTTTCGTTGTAMACCGCAACCGTKAACTACCGAGATTGAACATCAAACGCCKCACCTCACATATGGATTAATTATAGAAAAACATGTGATGAGACGACATAAGCCGGAGAATAAGCTGAAAAAAAAAGACAGAAGCAAAGCGTGCGACGTATTAAGATATTGACAAAAGGCAAAGTTCAAAAAAAAAAGAAGAAGAAAAAAAAAATAGATATCACACTAATACACCTTAAAACGTGTTACCGCCTYGGGTTTCTTGCAGAGTTCAAACCCGAAATATCCTCACAATTTCAATTAAAATCACTGGTCTTTATGTGCGATGATTGCGTTGAAAGCATTAAACAGATTACCCACTTTACGGTAGATTTTCTTTCACCTTGGAACACATCCASAATTGTTTTAGTTTCAGACTTGTTAAGTGCGCGACTCGTAAGGTCATGTCAACGTGCGGTGAAGCGGCGAAGCAACAGACTAGCCACAGCTTTTAAATACCTATCTTCATTCGTTCCCTTTTTACAAACGTGCATTTACCAAACGGCGCAGAAAATATAATACTTGAGCGAGCATATCCTAATGCAGATCACAGAAAAGACAAAATTGTATGAATAATTCTGAATGTAGAACAATTATTAGTCGCCGTGGGCTTGCAGCAACCTTTAGAAAAGAATGTCATAGCGCGTGAATAAACAATTAGAATGTTGAACAGCATTAAGCAATAAAAAAAACTAGTGAAAGTAACGCATTCTTGCTTTCACTATGTATTTGAAGTAAAAATATTCTATGCCATAATTTACATTCATTTATAATCATACGATAGACAGAATATTCATAAATCATAATCTTATCGTGTTTAAAACCTTTCACTCGTTCGTCTACCCATGTAATAAYCTGTCTGTCTCAAATTTAAAAAGTAGCTAGCCCGACTTCACGCTCTAAGAGCGACTAGTTCAATGTAGAAGTGGAAATGYTCGCGATATCGAGTTGTTCGTAAAATAGAGGTGTATAGATTAATCTGTCAGATAGAGGTGCCCATTACACATCTATAGAAAAATTGGCACTCAATACTGCATTCCAAGATCGCAATGCATTGTAGCCATTGAACTCCACGTTAGCTGTGTTAGAGTGCACGCCACATAGGCGCGAAACAATTCTTAACAACCAATAACTAATAAGATTTAGTTATCAACTAAGAATTTAGTGAGGCGTAAACAAAGACAAGTGACAAGTTTCCTTTTCTGGCATTGTGTTCATGCCCCAGTGAATTCTTAGTTAGTTGATAACTAAATCCTATTAGTTATTGGTTGTTAAGAATTGTTTCACGATTTTTTGGAGTGCACTCTACAAAATGACAAATTTAGATTACAAAATGACAATTCTAAACTTCATTGCTCGACTGTTTGGGCCGGGTACTAAAGGACTTGAAGTAGAGCAAGTGGAGGAAGCCACGTTTACCCACTCGAACTCTCCACGAATCTCCTTTCCGACGTCGGTAAAACGAGCAAAAAGGCCGGGGGGGTGGGGGGTAGGGGGTGAGGAGGGGAGGCTAATTAAAAAGAGCGGGGATCCTTGACGTCCCTTTTAGGGCTTGAAATCAGTATTTTGGTTAAGATCAACAATGGACCCTACGGCGTTTGACACTTGTGCAAGAACACAAACACCAAAACAAAATGACCTGGTTTTTTTTGGTCCCTTATTTTAGGGTGAAATTTCGGCACTKCCACGCCCATCATCCCACAATACAGGTCCCTTTTAGGGGTCACTTTCAGAATTTACGACCCCTGCCCTTTTTATGAGGGAGTTTCCCCCGGGCAATAAATCAGTGCGGTTTGGGGATACACTATCTTCAATATTTTAAACGTTTTTTGAAGYTGTGCATGAAGAGGTATTTCTTGATAGAGTGATCGCACTTAATCCGTTTAACTGTACAAACTAAATAGCGATGTTTAGTTGTATTTAGTAAATCGTGCATGCGATACGCAGATTAAATTGAATTGATACAAATGAAGCATGCATTCAATACCGTCTTGCTTCAGGTCCACTTTTGGTACAAATTAGTACTACTTAGATTTTGTACAGTTGCACGGATTAAGTTCGTTCACTCTACAATTAATGGTACTTCATTCAGATAGAAACCATTTTAGTATTAAATATAACATATGGCGGGCCAGCTAAGATAACCCTGCCCTGAAAAATACCTAAAGAATGTTTACACTTTAAAAATGTATTTTTCATCTTTTTGAATGCATTGCGAGTTGATGGCACAAATCCAGCGCGTTTCCGTAAGGCTATGGCTTTTTTTTCTATACGTTCGCATTCTCCTCTGTGACTAATAGCTTACTGTTTGGATTGATTATAGGCGAAAAGACGACGTAGTGATACGTAAAGAGACGTAAAGAGACGTAAAGAGACGTAAAGACGACGCAAGAAGGTCTCTATTGAAACATGGAAACGGTGAAATTGAACACAACATCGTCCCCACAAGACTATTATGATGAAGAGCATGAAGGCGTCTATGGATTCAGCGTTGAGTTCGACACCCCTGCGGTAATCCTCGCAGTTCTCAGCGTAATTCTCAACAGTGTTGTTCTACTTCTGGTCATACGACGCAAGCATCTTCGCACACAAGCGAACTATCTTCTCTGCAGTCTTGCAGTATCAGACCTTTTGACTGGACTTGTGGGTGTCCCTTTGTACTTGGCATGTACTATCAGAAGAGAAATTACTCCTTGTATTCTTTCAGAGAACTTTCTTCGCTTGACTTCGATTTCCACAATTCTGCACCTAGTGGCTGTTAGTGTCGACCGTTTTGTGGCAGCGAAATTTCCTCTAGATTATAGCTCTATTGTCACGCCACTTCGCAGTCATGCAGTCAAGGTTGTTATTTGGCTTTCAGCGATCTGTGTGGCGTTTGTGCAGAGAGTTTGGTTGAACCCATCGACTATGCATCTTGATGAGGACGAAACTTACATAAAGTTTGAAATACCCTACGATATTGCAAACCTCGTTTTGTTTTTTGCAATTCCTTTGATAATAATGTTCACGCTGTATTCAGTTCTTTTCTATGACTACATTGTGTTCATCGGAAGACATCAAAGCCAACATGAAACCCAGTCAAGCCAGGAAAGAAAARCTGTTCTCGTATTCGTCGCCATGTTCGTGGTTTACTGCGCTTGTTGGCTACCATACTTTCTCGTACGCTTGCAACACAACATTGGAAACAGTTTCTTTGAACTTCCACACATTTTGGAGTACGTGTTCGTCTATCTTCGATTCGTCAACGCTGTACTGAATCCGTGTATTTATGTCTTTGGCAAAAGTGATTTCAGGAATTCGCTTAAAGAAATGATTTACAAAAGAAAATATTCAAGGACAAATGCAAGCAGCGAGGTCTTTGATGTTGAACTTACTTGTGTTCAAAATATCGCAGATTAATTTGAGAATATATTCAAGATGAAAGTAAAGGAAGAATATAGCATGCGATGTTAAAGTAGCTTGTCAATTTGGTGATGAAAGAAACACTTCTGCGACTGGTCTTTGAAGCTACAAAAGTCCCTACTGTTCGAATTATCGTCCATAAGTCTACTCATATTGAGGAAGGCATCACTCGATCGTGTATACAATTATTTCACAAAACTTTGCATACTGTATACTGCATGGTGAATAGACGTAATCGGCTTCAACCCAAYTSAAACCACCCGGGAGTAAGTTTCATTGTTCGTTGTATTTTCTTTTCGTAGTTGGATTCTTAGAAACAAAAGTTCTTTTTCCCACAGGATTTGAATTGGGTGGCAACGTACATAGCAACGCCGTTAGCCGATTAGGTCTATTCCAAGACCGCAATGCATCCTTGCAATTAAAGTCAACGYTATCGCGTTTCAAAATGAAAAGTTCTAGACTTTACGGAGATGGTATAGTTACTCTGAAAACTCCTTTTGAACGCCTCTAGAACGTTCAACAATGCATTTCGGTCTTTGAATACACTATCTTCAGTATTCAACGTTTTATGGTCAGTAGATATTCGGAAAAATGACTTGTCAATATATGGACGAACGGCAGAACTTCTGAAGATCGAGCCGAACGGATGGGTGAATAGATGCCAGGAATTAGTGAACGAATGGAAGACGAATAACGTACGACCGCGATCGAATGTGGGAACGATCACCAAATAAGAAAAAAACGAGTGGAAGAGTGAAAGCGCCGAACGAATGAGTAGCGGTCCGAATAGGAGACGAATACCATGTCGAGTGGACGAACGATAGTCGAAAGGGTTCGGGTAAAAGAACGTAAATACCGAGTGAATAAGGAACAAGTAGACCGAAGAGAAGACGGCAATAACCATCTAATATGTAAACGAGATCTACTCTGAGTCCTGACCGTATGACAGATTATATATACAAAAAAAAATATGCATGAAATTTCCCTAGTTTGTAAATAATTATAACATTATTTTTGTTGATAAATAACTGCATAGCATGACACGAAGAGACCTAGCTAGATTTTTCTATTAAAATTAARAAAAAACATTGAATTTTTACGTGGTAGAACCTTTATTTATAAATAAAAAAGACATTATTGTTCAGTATTAAGACAAAGAAGGAGTTTATAGACTTATTTGCAGCCGCTGTAACCCCTAYAACGTGTCCTGATCCTTCGTTATCTTGGCCAGCGCCGAAAAAGGTAAGATTCTTGTTGACGGCGCTGACCAAGAAAAGCGAAGTTTTAAGGCAAGAGATTAGCGCTGTCCATATTCGGTACTTTGGCGAGGAATAGGCGAGTCGAATCTCTTTATGTACAGTCAAACAACACTTTCAGTCACAGTAAAAGTCACAAATAAGTTATTTTTTAGTCACAGTAAAAGTCACAAATAAGTTATTTTTTTAGTCACAGTAAAAGTCACAAATAAGTTATTTTTTAAAAAGCAATTTGTGAATTTGCGGCGAGAACTTCAGCAAACTGCCACTGTCTTTATTGCATGGTTTCTGATGTTTCATCGAGAAACAACCGAGTTCTTGATGTAAATGAGTTGTTTTAACAATGATATGAGCCGTGATACAACCGGTCAGCTGCTGTGCTGATTGCTCCATTTTGTTCAGTTGRAGGCAGATAGACGARTTTGTCTTGTTGACTTGTGCATCGCCACAAACCATCGAAAAACGAAGAGCAACTGCAGTAAGAATATTTGACAATTACATCTTGAAGAAAATCATCATTTTTTTTATTCACTCACTTTCTATCAATCAATCCTATCAGGAGTTAATTCGACAATACTGTTGAAAGGTAAYCACGCCTTTGCATCAAGGTGAGACAAGAGTTGAGCCTGCAGTGATAGACGCCTTTTATATTCACACCTACAGACAATTATTCACAGGTATCTATCATTGCAAAGACTCGACTACCTTTCAAGATRGCTCTTGGAACTGAAAAATGGTGGAGGATTCATACCTGGTGTGATCACTCTAAAGTTCTTGTTATTGTTCACGAACAAGTCGAGCCAAAAACGCTGCAAGAAAAGAATAAAATATTAAAAGAATAAGAAGAGGTCTAACATACTACAATCTAACTTCTTTCGCAAGGTTGTGGCAACTTTATGATAAAGAATGCTTCTTTGAATAAACACTGGAAAAAATCGCGCGCTTTAAAGGTTGTAAATTTTGATGGAAATATGATGTAAGTGTCCAAAATGATGTAAATTTGATGGAAATGATTTGCATTTTTTTTACATTTCATTTTGGACACTTACATCATATATACATCAAAAGTTACAACCTTTACAGCGCGCGATTTTTTCCAGTGAAAGCGAAAACGCAGAATGGAAAAATCGTCTGTTTTGTCAGGCTGTGAACGGTGTGTCCCGTTWCTATGACGACTATCGGCGCTCTGCAACGGGTTTGTAGTTTGCTATTGGTATACCATTGTACTACGAAATTATACCTTTCCCTTCTTGGATAAAAGACTTCGTCCACAAACTGAATGAAAGAAAACAAGTTGATTTAACAAATAGATCTCATTTTTCCGTGCGTGTGTACTAGATACACAGATGACGTCAAAATGTAGTGAGAACAAAAAAGTACGCACGAGACGCAGTCGAGTGCGTGACTGTTGTTGTTCTCACTACATTTTGACGTCATCTGTGTAACTATTAGAGTACACACACACGGAAAAATGAGATCTATCTGTTTTATACAACAAACAATTAGTTTTGACGTAATCCGTGTATCTATACTTTGATAACACACGAAAGCCAACCAATCAAAACGTCTGATTTTACTGAAAAGTTGTATAAAAGTAGATATAAACGGCACATCAGGATACAATCGAAAATGAGCAAAATTAGTGCAAAGATTTTGAAAAATGTCGACAAGCAACCTGAAGTAATCAATCAAAAAATAAATAAATAAAAAATAACCAAACAACGGCAAACCGCATAAAACAATCAACTAACTAATTAATCAAAAATACAGCTGGATAACTAATAAAAAAAAACATTTTCAAATTTTTCAAATTTTCAAATTCTATCCATTATTCTACAGAAAACCTCGAAAAATGACTGAAAAATGTTGACAAAAAGCATTATATGCCTCTAAATAGAATGGACTGGCCGGGAAGTTCTGCCTAAATGGAAAGCACCCTAACATCAACCTTCCACGCACCTTTGGTTGTATTCTTTARAATAGTGCTACAGCACATGCACCTACGAGCCTTAGCGCAGACACATTTGCCTGCGGGCTCATCATCAATAGTCGTTGCTCGCATACCACGTGATATACTGATCTACACAAAAATCAAAAATAACTACGGAATTTGTAGTGATTATAGTGAGCTAATTCTATCCAATCAGAATCCTCGTACCAATCCTCTTATTACCTTAGATTTCCCATCTAAACGAGCTTCGGACCAGTCTCCTTTCAACTCGGCCCCAGTATTCAAAGCTCTATAGATGCATCCAAGTTTATATGTCTTTTTAAACGTCAAAAYTTGTAATTTCAACGATAGGCATGCGCCGTGGTGATGTGGTTTGAAAGAGACGTCGGTTAGCTGAAGGCAGGCCTTGCCAACTTCTACGATAGGCAACTTGAAGCACAAAGATGGCGGATCTTTAGCTAAAAATGAGCAGGTAAGTCCATCACGGGTAATGATTGTAATGATAATAATACTCAAATGGTCTTGGACGGTAGTTTTGACTTTGCTTCGAAGAGAGACGACCGTTGAGTATGCACAATGATAGATACTGTGAATAATTAACAATTAGACCTCGAGGTCGAGTGGACTAGCTACGAGCTAATAGCCCATGAGGCCGAGTCCGCGAGGCCGAATGGGCTATTCTCTCGTAGTCCATGAGGCCGAGAGGTCTAATTGTTTTAGTATAAACATACTAATCGGTCAAATAATGAAAACAAATTGAAATACCCTTAAAATAATTTATAATTTATGATTTATTTATTTTGATTTTCCCGCGAGTGGTCTATCACAAATTAGACCATTAGTAGAGTAGCCAATCACAGCGCAGTATGAGTGATAGACCATTAGTGTGTTTATACTAATTGTCTGTATATAGGTGGGAAAGGTTTCTATCATTACATACTCAAAGGTTGTCTTCTTTCGATGCAAAGGCAAGAGATGGTGCCAGGAACCGCGAAGGAAACTATTGGAGTTTGGTTAAATTAATACCTGATATTTTWGTGCTGAAGATAGTTATTCCATTCCATGTTATTTTTACTTCAATACCCTGAACAGACAAATTACATATACGAYATCATATGCGAGTCCATGGAAAAAATAAATAAACGAATAAACGAAAGAATGATGATTGAATAAAACTAATCGACGATTGCGCAATGGTCAGTGTGCAGCGACGCCATTTTGTACAGCAAAGCGCACATGATGGTAAGTGTAGTCCTCGCACTTTTAAAAGCCCCTAGAAATCTCCACTGYTTTCTTAAGTAGAAATTATAGAACTACTTCGTTGTATACTCGCAAAGGAAAACGGCTTAAACGGCTTAGGAGGCTATTTTAAGGGATATGAAAAAAGTTAATGGACTGCAACTATACCATCATGCTTTGCTTCATAAAATGGCGTCCCCTATTGGATGAATGTCAAGTGTGGATATAAAATGAAAAAAAAGTAAATGAATAAAGAGATGAATAATAAACAAATTAGCAGAGTTGACGAAAGTGGTTTCCGGCGTGTGTATAATTATTATAATTATGTAGACAGCATGGCAAACAGTGATCTACTTACAACTTCGGCTATCGAAAAACTGATGACAACACACACTGAAAACAAATAAAACCACATTAAATCTTGTGAATATAAACAATGAAACTGAACAATGAAACTACAGTTATGATAAATTGATTATAAAACACAATAATGGATGAAGAAACCTGACGTTTAATTCGGAAGTTTGTCTTCAAAATGAGGAATAGACTAACCAAAGACTAAATGACTTTTTGCGACGTTTAACTCGTAAATCCGAAACTGTTTGAGTAGGCCTCGTGACACGACGTGTCATGCCTATGATCGTCCCGATTGGCCCAACCGTTTCTATTGTTGTAGTTTCCTCAAGGGTTTAACAACAATAGAAAAACGCGTTTTTGGGCGATTGGGAGCCGGGATAGGGCGACAGAGATCACTTTACTGACTTCTAAACTTGCATGAATCTCACAGGAGGAACCGAGTTCTAAATAACAGGCGGAGCCGGAGTTCTAAATAACTCTTCTTGTACGAATTTTTTCCTGGGAAAGGGATTTTTGAGCTATTTGTTGACTATCTCACAAGCAAATGGTAGCGCCCTTCCTTATTTAAAATAATTTTGTTCCTGGCAAACGTTTTTAAGGTCAAAAAAGAAAAAAAGGCTTATATAACGTATTTATGGTCAAAAAAGAAAAAAAAAACGGTTTATATTTTTTTCAGTGAATTTTTTATTTTCCAGGCAAAATTCTTAGAGACTATTCATTGCCTGGAAAGTTTTTTTCCTGAATTTTTCTCTGGCAACTAGTTGTGAATTAAAGCTGGAACCTGTCGGCTGCTCCTAATCTAAGAGAATTTACCTTTGCTGTCGACATGAAGGTGTTTGATTTTAATGTTTATACAGCGTTCAAAACCTGTGCGACTCCTGGAAACTTGCTCTAAAAGAACACAAATTTCTGTCACTCTTTCGAATCAAAACTTTACTCGCTAACATTCTAAATAAACACAAAATCCGCGACTGACCTTGCACGTTTTTCTCCAYAGCGCAACACTGAGAAATGGCTGTGATAGCCATAGCCATGAAAAGAAGGCTTTTCATTTTGGTGACGATATATTTTGGAAAGATAAACTTCAGCAATTGGTGAAGTATTATTTTTACGTGTGAAATTTGAGAAAGTAATGCCAGAACAGTTTGCTATTTTGTTTTATAGTTTAGATCTTTGGATACTGAAAGTCAATCGGGTAGTTTCACGTTTCAATTTTCGGTGAATAATACTTTTTAGGGCAAAAAAAAGAAAAGAAAAAAATGAAAACAAAATACTGTTTGAGACTAAATATGATATGAACAATTATTGGTTGAGATTTAGTTTGATATGGACAATTATTGACTCAGGCTGAGTATGATATGAACAATTATTGGTTGAGCTGATTTAGTCTGATATGAACAATTAATGTTGAGGCAGAGTATAATATGAACAATTATTGGTTGATATTYAGTTTGATATGAACAATTATTGGTTGAGATTTAGTCTGATATGAACAATTATTGGTTGAGGCAGAGTATGATAYGAACAATTATTGGTTGAKATTYAGTYTGATATGAACAATTATTGGTTGAGRYWKAGTMTGATATGAACAATTATTGGTTGA